GATGCTTTTGAACTGTGGTGTTGAAGAAGACTCTTGTGGTGTTGGAGGAGACCCTTGGACTGCAAGGAGATCCAACCAGTCCATCCTAAAGGAAGTCACTCCTGGGTGTTCACTGCAAGGACTGATGCTGGAGCTGAAGCTCCAATCCTTTGGACACCTCATGTGAAGAGTTGACTCACTGGAAAAGACCCTGATGCTGGGAGGGATTGAGGGCAAGAGGAGAAGGAGACGACAGGATGAGATGGCTGGATGGGATCACCAACTCGATGGACATGAGTTTGGGTAGGCTCCGGGACTTGGTGATGGACAGGGAGGCCTGGTGTGCTGCGATTCATGGGGTCTCAAAGAGTCGGACACGACTGAGCGACTGAACTGAACTGAACTGAATCCTTGATGATTACTTGTTATCTCAAGTCTCAAAGGAATTTCCTGAATTTTCTGGTCGCTGTAAACTGCCCAGGATCTTTGCATTACCTGAGATGGAATAGGGGAAGGGAATGAAGTTCAATGAGTCGAAAACTGAAATCATGTCTTGGTAGAATGGGGACATTGCAATTTGATATAACTTACATTTAGAAAAGAATATAGTAACATTTTTATATTCCCAAGTGTATAGAATATAATACACATGTAATTAACCAAAAAATAAGAGAATTCTGAAAACATATCCTGGAATAGAATCAATTTTTTTTTTTTTTAGTGTTCATATGATTAGCCTTTGGCCTTGATATGTATTGGTGTCATTTGTTACAGGACTGACTTGGCACAGATGCAGAAACCTCAGTCAGTGAACCCAGAGCTCACTTGCTGGCCTCTCACTGGAATCCTAGACATGCTGAACAACTTCAGAGGTGAGAGTCAGCCCTGTGGTGATCAGGACTGCATTTCATTAGAGCTCCCTAGGAAGGAAATTCTTCTGTTATTTTACTTCTTCTGACATCAAGTTAGTACATAACTTTACAAAGTTGCTACATATTTTCTGCCTATATTAATAAGATTGCAGTTGAACTTTGCAACCTATAGTTTACTAACAATTTAAAACCAGACATATATATTTATGTCATAAGCAGAGCAAGACGAGAGCAACCAGGTTGCTCATGTGATTATAAAGACATAGAATTTAGTTTTGTGAATATCAATCAATCAAACTATCAATCAATATTTTGTTTAGTCAGTTATTTCACTCTTGAAAGTTAAGTATGTTCTTGCTGGGTTCTAATATGCTCTCTATCATAACTGCCTTTATAAAAAACTACATTGTAAAAGAATATTTTATTATCAGGAAAAATCAACAAGAAAGACTAAAATGGCTTAAGTAGAGTAATTGTATTGCTATTGGATCAGTCTCAAAACAAGTGAAGGATATGTGAACATGGTTAGCCAGAACATACTTTTAGAAGCTCCCAAAGTATTCATTTATGCCTTTTCATCAAATTTTGGACCTTTGAAAATAATTGGTACAGAATATACCCCAATAAATGTCCATATGAGAGTAACATGTCATTCACATGTTTCATGGTATTAAAGACAAAGGAAATAAGAAACAATTTCTAAACAAAAGAAAAAATAATGCTTAGGTTAGTCCTGAGGCAAAGTATCAAGAGACTGACATCAAATCAAATTTCACATAGTTCTCCATATATGTCTTTTTTTTCTTTTGCTAGTTGATTTGAAGTGCTTCTATATGCTGTAGATACTACTAATAATACCAGTCTGAACTTCATCTGCTCTTTGTTTTTTGTTTCCTTGGAGGAAGGAAAATGAAAGAATTTACTGAGTAGAGAGATTTTATCTCTCATGACATGGAAATCCCAGTTGCTGACCTGATTTTTGTTCTCTCTGCAGTGGATAATGTTCTGAGTCAGAAAATGACCTTTCATAATGTGAGCCTTTCTGAGGATAATACAAGTCTGATGTTTGGAGATGATGACCATGGTGTGTCCAGACAGCCCTGTGGTAGGGAGAGTTTTGTGGCCTGGGGAGCTCGGGCCTTCACCTCCGGGAGGCATTACTGGGAGGCAGATGTGACGCACTCCTCCAACTGGATTCTGGGCGTCTGTAAAAACATCTTGACAAGTGATACTGATAACAGTATCAGTATCAATTCTGAAGAAGCATTTCTTCTCTTTTCTATGAATGTGAATGATCATTATAGTCTCTTCACCAATGCTCGACCCTTAGTTCAGTATGTGAAAAGGCCTCTGGGTAGGATTGGGGTGTTTCTGGATTATGACAATGGAACTGTGAGCTTCTATGATGTTTTCAGGAGTTCCATCATATATAGTTTCCTTCATTTCCCCTTCTCCTCCCCTCTGAAGCCTTTCCTTTGCCTTAGGTCTCCATGAATTGCCCACTTCTGGGGCCATTTATTGAAACTGCTTCTCTGGGGATATTGCGGCCCTTAACCTCATGTGAGGCCACAGGATACCTGCCTGTGTCCAAGCATATTGTTACTTAATGTAACATAATGATTGTATGTTTACAAAATGGCATAACCATGCTCTATGAATTAATTTGTTAATTAAATTTTCTTTTAATAAAAGTTTTTTTTATGGAGTATTTAATAGAATATAATCCATTGCCTTTCTTCCTTTTTAAGTAACAATTCTATTAAACTAAAAATTATATACCATAAAGGTCACTGCGTTTAAACCACATGATTCAATGTCTTCTAGAAATATATAAAAATGTGTGCAACCAGAAATATCTAATTCACGAACATATCAATCACTGCCCAAGTTTCCAGTGCCCATTAATGTTTACAAACTCACTGAGCATATACCATCTCATCATAACACTGAGCAAATTTTCCTCCAATTAGTAGATAATTTTAGTACTTGATGGAAATTTCCAAGAAAGAAGAGATGGTATTTATCTTTTGTGGTGGTTTAGTCACTATATCATGTCTTTTGTGACCTCATGGACTGTAGCCAGCCAGGCTCCTCTGTCCATGGGATTCCCCAGGCAAGAATACTGGAGTGGGTTGCCATTTCCTTCTCCAGGGGATCTTCCCAACCCAGGATTTGAACCCAGGTCTCCTGCATGCCAGGCAGATTCTTTACCAACTGAGCTACGAGGGAAGCTTCAAAATAACTTACTTATTTGTTTGGCTGCACTGAGTTTTAGTTGTGGCATGTGGGATCCAGAGCAGGCAAGGTCAGTAGCTGCAGCGTGCAGGTTTAGTTGCTCTGAGGCAAGTGGGATCCTAGTTCCCTGATCAAGCATTGAACCTGCCTTCGCCTGCATTGCAGGGCAGATTCTTAACCACTGAACCACCAGAGACGTCCTAAAATAGAATTATACAGTAGATATTTTAAACCTCAAAATAATTTAATTTTTTGTAAATCTGTAAATCAATTTCCTCTTTTTTGTTGACGCATTTTATGTCTATTATGTTACATATTTATATTTTATACTGCTATGTTTTCACTATCTAATGCAGTATATAGAATATAAGTATTAGGTGGATCAATGAAAAATTCCTGAATTAAAGAATTCATATAAACAAGTATTATTTCACCATTAATAAGGTTTTCTAAAGTGTAGCTAAAGTGATAGACTGGGCTCAACACTTCACATTTAGTGAGGAAAATAAATGGGCTTCACTGAGTAACAAAGTAATTAGAAGAGACCATTTGAGCACAGGTTAGAAAATACTGTTCAGTGGTGTAATCCTATCTCCTTTTGTGATGATGTGGTGGAAAAAGTGCCCTTAGAAGTCACTGGAATCCAAATAGAACTGCCATATGACCCAGAAATCCCACTGCTGGGCATACACATGGAGGAAACCAGAATTGAAAGAGGCACTGGAACATCGATGTTCATCGCAGCACTGTTTACAGGAGCCAGGACATGGAAGCAACCTAGATGTCCATCAGCAGATGAATGGATAAGGAAGCTGTGGTACATATACACAATGGAATATTTGGAAACCATATCTGAATACCATATATTTGGAAATGTAATAAATGTATATAGTTCCACATTATTGACCCTAAAATATTCCTTCCTTTCATAGTAGTCTCTAAACATGATGGAATAATGGTGAAGAAATTGTCAAATGAATGTTCTGTTTATAACACCAAGTAATCATATTCCCACTTCCAATCCTCTATTGCCAATTCTGACCCAGTTCTAAGCTCCTCTCCCATAAAGCTAATCACACTTTGGTAATTAATATACCCTGACACTATCAATTTTTGAAATTTTGCAAGTGAAATCACATATCATATACTCTTCTCTGTGTAGTTTCTTTTCTTTAAAATTATGTTGGTGAGATTCATTCACTTGGTTGCATGCAGCATTTTTATTATTATTTTTTGTAATAGTTCGGTCTATGAATATACCACAGTTTACTTTCTCTACTACTGAAGAACATGTTCATTTCCAATTGAGTGAGCATAAACACTGCTATCATGAAGACATTATACATATCTTTTTATTGAAAGAGAAGTGATACCCATTGTGTAAGTAGGAGTGAAATAGTTGACTCATAAAGCATATACTTAACATTTTGCCAAAGAGACTAGATCAACTTTCATACTTTTAAGCAATCGATGATTGCTTTGTTTCCTCCAATTTTTTGACAACACCTGTCATTATCTGTCTTAATTTTTTGTTCATTTTGTGTTTTTGTTGTTGTTTTATTAATTTTTAAAAATAAAAAAAAAAACTTTATTTTTTGACTTTGCTAGGTCTTTGTTGCTGCTGGTTCTTCCTTGCTGCAGGGGGCTTTTCTCTAGTTGTGGTGGGGACGACTCTCAGACTGCAGTGTGGGGGCTTCTCATTTCTGTGGATTCTCTTGTTGTGGAGGATGGTCTCGAGGGCATGTGGGATTCAGTAGTTGCAGCTCATGGGCCCTAGAGCAGGGGCTCAGTAGTTGTGGTGAAAGGGCTTAGTTGCTCTGCGGCATGTGTAATCTTCCTGGATCAGGGAGCAAAGGTTGTCTCCTGCATTGACAGGCAGATTCTTGACCACTGAACCACCAGGGAAGCCCTCATTGTGGTTTTAACTTGAACTGACCTGATGACAAATTCAGTGGAACAATTTTTCATAGGTTTATCAGACATATGGATACCACTTTTTGGTGAACTGCTTGCTCAAATCATCCTTCCCTGCGTTTTTCTACCAAGTTGACTTTTTTTTTTCACTTACTTTTGGGTCTCTTTCTGTCTACTTTATAGAGTCATTTATTGGACGGAGATGTGTCAAGTGTCTACTCCCATTACTGCTTTGCATTTTCAATGGTGTCTTGACACAAAGGATTATGAATCCTAACGCATTCCAATTTATTTCTTTGTTTAGTGACTTGTGAAAATTTAGGAAGACTAGTAAGGAAAATTTTCTCTGAAAATATACATTCCTAAACTTTTCCGAGAGCTTTGTTTTTTTTTTTATTATTCTTTTACACAGTAATAATTGAAGGGATGTGGAATTATTTTATGCCATGATATAAACTTTAAGATTTGTTTTTGTCTACATTTATAACCATTTACAACTCAAAACTTGTCTTTTCCTCTTGTAACTTACAGATTTTTAGAGAACACTGATATAGAATAAATATTTACTCATATTGTTTGAAATTACAAAGAAAATACAGTACCAGTAATCAAAATTACCCTCAAAATGGATTATTAAACTTGAGCATGATGGTGAAATAGGATGTAGTTGGGAGAAAATAGAAAGAAAAATTCCCAGAAAACATAAATTTGTTTGGGAAGAAAAAAAATATGCCTTTTTTTTTTTTGGTATTGGACATTAATCTTCATTAAACCATCAATGATTTTTTTTCTCTTATTTGTAGTTGAGAAATTAATATGAGAAACACTGTATATTTTGTACTCTATAGCATATGATTTTTTGTGATTAATACATACATTTCAAATACATATCATTTACATTAACACTATACTTAATATTAAACTATTTTCACTACATTAGAGAGAACCTGAAGGTAATCAGATATCATCTATTTGATTTATTCAAGAGTGCACAGGTGAAGGCATTTCTCAGATTTGAGCAATCTCCTGACAGCCATCCTTACTCCTGAATTTGTTCTGGGTCAAATAGGACCATAGCAAAAGAAAGGTCTGAGAGCTGGAGAAAAGAATGAGGGTTGCTATGTATAAGGGATCTTTGGGCAACATTAGCAAAGCTCTCACTGCTGCTTTATAATCCACAAATGCTTCACTGGAGGAAATAGATCTTGTCACCTATGAATTAAAGTGGGAGTGTTTGAAGAGGATTACAATAAATGTTCTCCTAAACACCAGGAAGGAGGAGTCCACCCTTTTAACCTGTCATGTCCGGTTCCAGGTGACTGCCCTGAACTCCTGATCCAGAATGTCCATGAACTGACATTTTCCTATGTCCTTAGCTTTGAACCTGCCATCCTGTCCCGCAGGTGCCAGAGGGGATACTGGAGCTGTTATGTGACTGGCACCATGTGATTGTGAGTTATGAAGGTTTGGTTTACAGATCACAAATAAATCACCTTTTAGTAAAATGTCACTTTTTTTTTTATTATTCTTTTACACAGTAATAATTGAAGGGATGTGGAATTATTTTATGCCATGATATAAACTTTAAGATTTGTTTTTGTCTACATTTATAACCATTTACAACTCAAAACTTGTCTTTTCCTCTTGTAACTTACAGATTTTTAGAGAACACTGATATAGAATAAATATTTACTCATATTGTTTGAAATTACAAAGAAAATACAGTACCAGTAATCAAAATTACCCTCAAAATGGATTATTAAACTTGAGCATGATGGTGAAATAGGATGTAGTTGGGAGAAAATAGAAAGAAAAATTCCCAGAAAACATAAATTTGTTTGGGAAGAAAAAAAATATGCCTTTTTTTTTTTTGGTATTGGACATTAATCTTCATTAAACCATCAATGATTTTTTTTCTCTTATTTGTAGTTGAGAAATTAATATGAGAAACACTGTATATTTTGTACTCTATAGCATATGATTTTTTGTGATTAATACATACATTTCAAATACATATCATTTACATTAACACTATACTTAATATTAAACTATTTTCACTACATTAGAGAGAACCTGAAGGTAATCAGATATCATCTATTTGATTTATTCAAGAGTGCACAGGTGAAGGCATTTCTCAGATTTGAGCAATCTCCTGACAGCCATCCTTACTCCTGAATTTGTTCTGGGTCAAATAGGACCATAGCAAAAGAAAGGTCTGAGAGCTGGAGAAAAGAATGAGGGTTGCTATGTATAAGGGATCTTTGGGCAACATTAGCAAAGCTCTCACTGCTGCTTTATAATCCACAAATGCTTCACTGGAGGAAATAGATCTTGTCACCTATGAATTAAAGTGGGAGTGTTTGAAGAGGATTACAATAAATGTTCTCCTAA